CTTTTTGAAACCTAGGGTGTGTTCTTCAATGATCGCCCTTCCCATCTCTTCCATTAACTCCTTGTCTTCATCAACCTTGACCCGTAGAACATCCCTTTCGGTCCTGGCTTCTTTCTCAGCAGTTCCTAGAGTGTTGTTAGCAATTCTAAGCGACACAATGGTAGCCTTCTTTCTGGTCTTGGTTCTCCTTCCTCATTGATTCCACCTCAGCGGCTAAGTGGTCATGCTTCTTCTTCAGATTGACACTAGATCTCTGAACATTCTCCAACAGGCGACGAGCTTCAGCCACTAGTTCTTCAGACTCTTTCTGATTTTGCTCACATTGAGAATGAACAATAACAACTTCATCACGGTATCGATCATTTGTTGCTCCGACATACCTTCCACCACCCTTTTTGTGGCCTCGTCCAGATTAAAGTCTATCTTATGACCTAAACAAAAGGCCGGACTCCACATGCCCTCAGGAAGTGGGCGAGCGACCGATTCTTGGGAACTTTTTCCCTTCTTCGAGGCATCCGTTTTCTTGATTCGCGCCCCCTCTCTTCCGCTTCCTTACAAACTGACGATCCTCAATAACAATCATTTCAGGCGAAGGTGGCCGAATGATTTGCGAAGGGGTGGCAGTATTCTCCTTCATGGTATCCTTCTCTGACTTGGCAGCACGAGTTGCACCAGAAACGCTACCTGCAGCGTCCGGTTTAGGGAGGGAAGACCCTCCTTGACTCTCCTTCTCGTTCATGATTCTGAACCAATATCTAACGGAACCTTTCCTACCCATAATACCTATAAGTCAATTACACAACAGGCAGGTCAATTACAGACAATTACAGTCATAAAACAACTACACAAAACAATAAAGGTGTGATCATACCAAACACACGCGAGCTATTCACATTTTGAATCTCAACACACAAATTGGAACAAAACATCACATTATATAAACTGGATATATATATATATATACATACATATATATATATATATGTATATATATATATACATACATATATATATATATATATATATACACTATTTTCAATTCACACAACAATCGAATAACATAACCACGAAAAATAATGCAGACTTTACAAATATACCAAGCCAATTGAACATACTCAATTTAACTCCCCCATACCTGACCAAGAATCCCACAATCTCAAACCCTTCCCGTGATTACTCCACGCCTTTCACTCCACCTCCACTTCTTCTCGGGTTAGTCCCTTGTTCCTGGTTGTAGCTCCTTTACTTTGCGTCCCAACGCTTGTGTTTCCCAGCCACTTACAGAACCCTACAACCAAACTCCATCTTGTTCTGAATCACTCTTTAACCCTCGCACTCACTTCTAAAACATAAAAAAGGTTCTTCTATCCACTTTCTTCGTTCCCATTCACTCACTCTCAATATACCCTAAAACGTCGTGGTTTGAAAAAAAAACAAATATGAAGGAAAGAACGAAAATGAAATAAAGCCCAATGTTTCTCGGTCAGCTAAGAAATAAAAAATAAATTCTTGTTTTGGTTTTTCCTTGGTTTAAAGGCGAGACCTTGAGTCACACACTACCCTCACCATTTAATATCCTTTTAAATTATTCTTATTTGATTATTCTATCTTTTTAATGCAATTAATAATATTTCCTACCATATAAGATTTGTACGCACGACAATCAACTCTATCTAATTAATTCCATGATTCTTGTATAAATCTTATTTTATTAAAAACCAACATTTCAATTTATTAATTTATACCTCAATTTATACAATTTCTCGGATTATGCAAGGGTTTTGCCCACTATTCCCACTTTCTGCCTCTTTCTTTTACACCCTTTTCTTGCAATTTGGTTGTCAAATGCAGCTGTTCTTCTTCTCTTGTTCCTTTGAGACCTATAATCATTGTTTACTCTGTTTCTATGATAGATTGTACACTGTGGAGCTCAAGGGCACGAATTCAGCATATTTCTGCACATTAATTGTCCGATAAGGTGGTAGTGTAGGTAATAAAATTTGAGGCCTTTTGGTTCCTCCAGCAACCATGGTTACGAACTAAGCAAATAAAAAAAAATGTTAGTTTACAATTTTTCATTATATAGACACAAAATTATGCTGTGAATAAGGGTGGGCATGGATTAGATTTTTAAACATCCCATCCAAATCTAATATAGATCCAAATATATACATCAGATTTTGGATCTAAATCTACTTCTTGTGCAAAACTATATTGAGTTTTTTTAAATCCATATCCAAATATATGTAACAAGTTGGAAATCCAAATCTGTAACATCCCAAAAATACAGCAATAAACCATATAATCGAATAATTACATTTGATAATATTTCAGTTCAGTCTTACACTAAGAAAACGTACGTGCATGACCGAACGACCTTACAGCGAGAGTTACCATATATAATCAATACACAAGTACGAATCTGACCGAACGGTTTACAAAAGTCAAATACCGAACGATCATACATACAAAGATGAGAAAGAGATGAAAAACCACCTCTTTACAAAACTACTCTACTGACCGAACATCCTACTGTTCGGTCTTAACTTTGACTTCTACCAAATTTTCTTCTTCCAGCGCCTCTTCCAACAGCTTGTCTTCTTCTGCTCACATCCACTCGGATGATCATTGCAATGACAAAGACGGACATACAAAACCAGACAACACACGAAATACAGGGTAAGCTTATGTAATTTAATTCAAGTATAAACATACATTTCTCATATTCAACACATCAAATACATTTCTACACACGCTCAAATCAAGGCCTATGTCCGGACTGTATGAAATCTGTGTAGCTACGACGTTTGTGCACCCGGGTGATGTAGTAACTGGAATACTCTCATCAGCTGCCACCCGAGGTTAGTCCTATCTGTCCAAAGTACCCCTAAGGACTAGGACCTCCTGTCGTTCCCACACATGACCTACCCTCCTCTACGTAAGGACGAGTATTCACGGAACATCAGGATGAATCGACAGCTTAGCATTACCACAGTCATACTTTACCAATTCCACTATTCATTCATGAGTCGTTCCTCCCCGGAACGCTCGTTCAAAATTCACAACATTTCATCCATCTCATATACTCTTCATCTTTTATTATCCATCATTTTAATTTCATCTTTATCACCAATTCTAATAACATCAAATACCGATCGTCCATTCCTCACTCAGAACGAGGATGAACACTAGGAACGAGACCGAGAAGTCTCTCGTTCCAGAATAGAATAAGACCGAGAGAGTTACTGTTAGATTTAGGAATAAATCGAGTACAATTATATAATATAAGACTAACGTTACTTACAACATGAATCAGTTAAATGAACTGACTCTCGAGAGCTCAAACCAACACTCAAAGAATATCAAGTACGGAGGCTCTAGACCGAAGACAATGAATGTAGACACGTCAAGACGTTAAAGAACCATACTTCGAATAATTCATATACAAAAACCCAATGCCAGTCAATGACCAAACACGGTAAAAGGGAATTCTACTGAAGTTGGACGAACGTTATTTCATCAAGATTGATTAATTATAAACGAGTACAAGCGCTTGGTATAAGACCGAGCACCACTCATTTCGAGAGTTTGGTGTGAGACCGAGCACTACTAAAATTTATAATAGAAAGATTTATAATTTAGATATTGTCGGAATTGTGTTTAAGAATAACTACTATATACAAATACATATATTTACAAGGTTTAAGTTTATCACCGAATACCCAGATGCAACTACGCTTGACCGAAAGCTCAAGCACAATATTATCACAAGAAGACACTCGTCCTCGACTAGGATTCTTTCCAAATGAAAGAATCCCATTTCAAACAAGTTTACTAGAAACACCGAACAGTCAAGGATCGTTCAATGACGAACGTACATTATCATAGGGAAAGTTCATAATCAGAATTCATTTACATTCAAACTCATTTCTCAGCATATAACTTCATAACTTTATACATTCATATTATAATCAACTTTCATACTTCATACAATCCATATCATATAAGTTTCATATATTTCATAAATCAGAACATAGCAACCGTCATATATCATATAGTCAAATATCACAATAATCATACTTCACTTTAATTTAGCAACTCAACAAACGTTCATGCAGCACAGGAAACATACCAAATTAAATTAAATAAGCTTCCCTTACCTCAGAGCGTGACTGTACGTCCTTCAGACTAAAACTCAGTTCACTGAACTACGATCCTTTCTACCTCAACGCTCAACGACTCTTCGAACCAAAATAAAACAACAGACCAAACTCGTTCAGAATGAAACTAAGGACCCATGCAACCAGAACTTGGTTTGCAGGTTTACAAGAACGAACGGTTAAACATAAGAAAACTTACCCGTTCAGAATTTGAAACCAATCGGATCAAACTAAAGCTTGGGATGCCGGAAGTGCTCCTACGGTGCCTGAATGGAGATCGGAGTAGAGAAAAAGTGAGTTTTAGTAGAGAGAAGGGGGACTTTTTAGTGAGAAGAAGGAGAAATGAGAAGTTCAGAGTTTTGGGAAGAAGGGTGCATGCAGAAGAGAGTGTGACGTAAGTTTCAGAAAAATTAGTTTTCTTCCCACGTCAAAATTATTGTCCGCTCTTCTGCTGACACCTGCATTCCACTATCTGATTTCTGATCCTCGTTACTTGACACCTGGCGTCCGTGCAAAGGGGTATTTGGGTGCATTTTAATGAGGTCTGACAAAATCCATAAGTAGATCCATTTGTAATGAAACTTAAATCTTTTATAAATCTAATTTTAATTTTAAATCTATTTTTAAAATAAAATAATTATTTCATCTAATCTAATGCATAAATATATAAAAAAGTTAAAATAATATATAAAATAATAAAAAATATAATAATATTATAGTTATAGTTTAATAATATTAAAGATTAAAGATAATATATTATATAAATTCTTAACATTACAAAAAAAACTAAAATCATGTAAATGTCCATATAAATCTTGGCCACAGATCAGCGCACTCCTTTCCTATGGGACCAGTGATAGCAAAACCTATAATTTCAAAAAGTGAACCAAATTTACTACAAGTACAAGCAGCAAAAAAGACTAAAAGCAAAACAAAACGCGACGCGACGCTAGTCACCACCGCCACACGCTAACACGCCGCGAGTGACCATCACCACGCGAGATCAAGAGAGGAGGCCCGCGTGACGGTTTGCACGCAGAGCAAGGAGGCGGGTCACTACGAACAGGTTCGTTTATTTATCCCTTGATTTTTCCCTGATTTCCCTGATTTCGTTTTTGGGGTTATACGGATTGTTTTGGGGTGCTAATTTCCCTGATTTTGTTTGGCCATTGTTTTGTGGTTGTCCTGATTTTGCCCTGAGCTCCCTTGATTTCCCCCGTTTTTGTCCTTCGTGTTTCGCCATTGGGATTTATGTTTACTGGATTTGATACATTCTGAGATTGTATAATTCTGACCTTGTATAACTGCCCAGCATGCTTAATTTCAATTCAAATTTTGGCTCTGAGTCACTGTGTGTTAGGAATTGGCAGCATGAGGAATGCTTCTCACTTTAATTGGCAGCACGTTAAAGTTTCTGAAAACTATAACTAACTTGTGATATTTCAACATATTAAAGCAACTTGTCAATAAGCAGAGAAAGCATTTGCTTGCTTCTATTTTTAGGAGTTGTAGTTAAAATTAAATAATGAAGTCCCCACCCGTCTTGTTAGTTTGTTTGGATATGTTTTAAAAATGAAATGCCATTATCTTATAATTTCTTTAGGAACTTCTTTTTTCTACCATAAGGTTCTCTCTCTAGTCCCGAGAAAGCAATGTTTTCTCTTTCCAGTTTTTGTTTCAGAACATTGGATTTTTTTTAAAAAAATAGGACATTATTTTCATCAATTTTTTAAGCAAATGTCTCTTAAGTAAAAGTAATCCTTTCCTTTGGGTGAAAGGAAGAAGAACACATATCTCTCAGTTTTCCACCTTAAAGATCTTCTAAAGAAGGATTTTAGTTACTTATCTTCCTGCTTTTTCTTACCTCCATCCGAACATAACTTAAACAAGGAAATTTAGGTCTTTTTATGCTATCATTTCTGCTGTCAACTTATTGACATATTTTGATGATTGTGTTCTTAATACTACATTTCTAGGCTTAAAACTTGAAAGTATGAAACTTTTATGTTGTGACTATTTTTATTTTTGGATAGGATGAAAGAATCAAGGACAAAGAAACAGCCTGAAGGTGATTCTGAGATTTCAGCATGGGTTAGTAAAAGCCGCAAGTTAGAAAAGAAAAGAGCATTGCAGCTCTCAAAGATTTTTGAGGAGCAGGTTTTTCCCCCCTTTATGTTGTACCTAAATTTTATGATCTTTAAGATACTGATTCTCCCAGTTTAAATATGTAATCATTACAACATGCTAAAAATCTCACAGGACAAAATTGCAGTAGAGGGAAGTGATGATGAGGATACAGCCCAACACACTGGTAAATTTCTCTGTTTCTGAATACATAGGGAAGTGATGTTGAGGATACAGCCCAGCAGCTTAGGGCATTTAAGTTTTGTCTTAGAGGGTTATGAATCTTTGTTTGACTGTTGATAAAATATACTTGTATATTGAATATCTGACAGAAAACCTGGCGGGGCTGAAAGTTCTCCATGGCCTTGATAAAGTTATGGAAGGCGGTACAGTAGTTTTAACAATTAAAGATCAGCCCATACTTGCTGATGGTGATGTTAATGAAGGTACAACTACTTGCTACTTATTCTGTAAGTTTGAAGTCTGTGAGTGATACATAGTTAGAGTTTTTGTTCTCACATGGCAGAGGTTGACATGCTCGAGAACATTGAAATTGGAGAACAGAAACGACGAGACGACGCTTATAAAGCTGCAAAAAAGAAAACTGGTGTATATGATGATAAGTAAGACATTCTCCTCGTAGTCGATGTACTAGTGCAATAATGTATGTATAGACTAAAATGAACTTATGAAAAGGAAAGAGTTTGTACGAAGTCTGTTCTCTCGATTTCAGGTTCAATGACGATCCCTCCTTGGAGAAGAAAATGTTGCCACAGTATGATGATCCAGCTGCAGAAGAGGTTTGCTACTCTTGTTACATTCCCAAAAAGGATGATGAGTAACGTAGATTTTGTGAATGCATGTACTCATTTGATTATTTTATTCAGGGAGTAACTTTGGATGAAAAGGGACGGTTCTCAGGTGAAGCTGAGAAGAAACTTGAAGAGGTTAGTTATGCTTTTCTTTTGTGAAATATTGTGATGGCCATTCTATTCTTCTTTTCTTATTGCAATATTCATTTTGTTTATCTGTTTTTCTTTTTTCATTTTTTCTGGGGTATCTTTTTTCTTCCTTCCAGCTGCGAAGAAGGTTAACAGGTGTTTCCACAAATACCTTTGAAGATCTTACTTCATCTGGAAAGGTATCATCAGATTACTATACTCATGAAGAAATGCTAAAATTTAAGAAGCCCAAGAAGAAAAAGTCCTTACGGAAGAAAGATAAGCTAGACATTAATGCCCTTGAAGCTGAAGCTGTCTCTTCAGGATTGGGTGTTGGTGACCTTGGTTCTCGGAACAATGTGAGGAGGCAAGCTATCAAAGAAGAGCAAGAAAGATTGGAGTCTAAGATAAGAAGTAATGCTTACCAGTCTGCTTATGCTAAAGCAGAGGAAGCCTCCAAATTGCTGCGTCAGGAACAAACTCTCAATGTTAAAACAGAGGAAGATGAAACTCCAGCTTTTGTAGATGATGATGAGGATCTTCGTAAATCCTTAGAGAAAGCAAGAAGATTAGCTCTTAAAAAGCATGAGGAAGATGGGGTATCTGGTCCTCAAGCTATTGCGTTGCTTGCTACCTCAAATCATAATAATGAGACTGATGGTCAAAACCCCACGGCTGGAGAGTCACGTGAAAACAAGGTGGTCTTCACAGAGATGGAAGAATTTGTCTGGGGTCTCCACATTGATGAAGGTAATTCTGATTTATTTGTGGTTTCTAATATAATTAATTTCATACTACTTCATGAGTATGACTGATTAAATTTAAAAGTGGATCAGTTTTGTTTTTTATCCATTTGGATTGCTGGAATTCTGTTGATTGTTTTGGAAATCCTCTATATAATATTTATTTCATTGTGCTCTTATTGTTGACATCTATGTCAATAACAATAATAATTTGAATGTTTGTGATGTGATCTTTCTTTTTTATGCTGAGTACAGTAGGTGTTCTGACATATAAATGTTTTGTAAGCATGTTGGAAGTGTTATATATTGGGGAAGCTGATAGTAGATAAAACTAAACTAAGGCATGTTACTTTCTACTTTTCAGAAGCACGTAAACCAGAAAGTGAAGATGTTTTCATGCATGATGATGAAGAGGCTATTGTTCCTGATGAAGAAAAGACTAATGAGGCTGGTGGATGGACTGAAGTTCAAGAAACTAATGAAGATGAACAACCCAATAAGGAAGACAAAGAGGAAATCGTTCCTGATGAAAATATCCATGAAGTTGCTGTAGGGAAAGGATTGTCAGGTGCTTTGAAACTGCTTAAAGATCGAGGAACACTTAAGGAAAGCATTGAATGGGGTGGCAGAAATATGGACAAGAAGAAAAGTAAATTGGTTGGAATTGTAGATGATGACGAGAAGGAAACTCAGAAGAAAAGGGAGATTCGCATTGAAAGGACTGATGAATTTGGGAGAATTGTAAGTTTTCCACATTCTTTACCTCTTATTTCAATTTTTAATGTCACCAAGATCATATTGTTTATGATTACTGCATTGATATGACTTAAGATTAAAAACAGAGAAAATATATTTTGGAGTGCTTGAAAGACCCCTCTGATGGTATGCTATTTATAATGATAGAAATCTGATACAATGGGAAGATGAAAGATCAAAAAAGTTTATTAGATACCTAGATACATAACTAGGTACAACATGAAGCAGTTCCCAACACACTACTCCCTACTTAGATTTGATACTGACTCTAACATGCTTAGATTTAATAATTATTCTAACAATATGTTTTCCTTGAAAAAGAATAATTAGACAAACTTTAAAATCAGTCACTTGATAATCTTTTATACACATTGAATTTCATTAATTCAACTTATTGTTTGAGAGTTCTCAATCATTAAGTTGAATATACAATATTTCATATAATTTAGTTATAGGAATACATGTGAGTTCAATTTATCTAACAGTTGACATTCATGATCATCAAGATACAGTTGGGTTTATCAAATTTGTATTAAAGGATTATTTATTAAGTGGAGCAAGTTTGCTACACTTGTCCTTTTCTTTTATTTGAGAAAGAATAAGACCTTCAACATCTTCAATAGTAGTATCATCAGGTTGGCTTTTTATTAGAGCAGTAACATAATTGCATTCTTGAGGTAAGCCTTCAAGAATTGCATCGACGTAGTGTTTAATGAAACAGGTTCACCAATTGAATGAAGAGTATCATTCAACGCCTTAAGGTGAAGTAAAAATTCATTGACAAGACGATTATCAAGTATGGAGTTGCACAGTTCTGATTGTAATTGTTGTACATTAGTGCGCTTTTAATGATGAAAATATGCATGAATTTTATTCCAAATTTCATACCAACCAAGATCCCTAGAAAGGATTGAACTAAATAAAGAAGTTTGAAACCATGCAAGGAGTTGATCCTGTTTCCGAGATGTATGAATCCTGTGATGTTCTTTTTCATGAAACTCACTTTCTTGTGAAGTGGGGTATCTATCTCATTCCCTTCCTCCCCTGAACCTCATCCCTCCACTGCTCCTTTGGGTGAATTTTCTTCTCCTTATTGTTCATCCATGTCACCCTTGTCTCAGCCACTACCTGCTGCTGACTCCTCCTTTATAAAACATGTCTTGCATCAGTGAGCATTCTTATTTATTCTTTAAACCTGATTGCGCCAGCCTCTTGCACAATTAATCCTTAATCCTTCCCGTTTCGAGATGCATCTTCTTTACCTCCTCCTCTTTCAACTCATCCCATGCAAACCTGGTGTTAGTCTGGTATCATTAAATCACAACTTAATCCCACGTTTCTCCTTACACATGCTTAACCAATTATAATTGGAAGAACCACACAGGCAGGAATTGATACTTTATTTGCCAATTGGATCTAGACTTTAATTTCTCTACCTGCTGCTTTAAAACCTTTTCTCTTCTTTTAAAACCTGTAACTATGCACGTCATCCTTACCCTTGCTTTGACAAATCAGTGTCCTTTGCTGCAAATCTATGTCAACAACACCTTTGTTAATGGATATGGTTCAGCCTCCTGGCTTTGAATCCTCAAGTGTTGTTTGTAAGCTAAACAAGGCTATCTATGGATTGAAGCAGGCATCTCAGGCCTTGTATGACTGATTATGTCAAACTATGGTCTCCTTTGGGTTTAGTTGTAGCAATTGTGATCCCTCTTTGCTCATCTTCACGGACACCTTTTTCCGTCTTTATCTCCTTGTTTATGTGGATGATATTGTCATCACTAGTTCTTCTGCTCCAGAGCTCATGATCAGACTTAGCAATTTTGCAGTTAAGCAGCTTGGGGGCTTAGTGACGAGTGCATGAAGAGGTCAACAATAGATTTACAATTGTTAGACTTTTAAATTCTTTTCTTGTAATTTGGATTTAATTCTTGTATTGGGCCTTGTATTTTTTCTTAAATTTTTTAAATTAGGGACTCTTTAGACATTAGTTTCTATTAGGCTTTTTAGTAGCTTATTGGACGGGTCTCTTAGTGAGTGTGCCTTGATCTTTGGTCCATAGTATAAACGACTTTTTGTAGACTCTTGTACTCAATATACATTTTTGGAGAAATTGAAGCTTAGCTTTGGTGAGAGAAATTCTCTGTAAGTTCTTTAGAAAAGTTTTGATTCTTATATTTGAATTTCTAATTCAAAGTATCAAATCTTCTTCTACTTGTCAATCTTCCTTGTGGCGTCTACTTCTTTTCTAATCTCCTTCCGTGTTTTCTACATTCTTAATTTTCAATGGCAATTGTTGGACAATCTGTTCTCTCTTATATGAGGTTATACATAACTTCCTTGACATTTAGGTCAAACAACATTTCTCTGGTGCTCTTATCTTGTCCCAATCAAAATATATCTGTGGCTTGCTGCATAAAGAAAATATATCTGTTTAATAAATTAATGTAATACCATGGATGAGGAGAATGTGTGTGGGTTTGGGTGCTTAGTGATTATAATGTTTAATGACACTGAACCTTAAAATTGACACTATCACAAATGCATTTATTAATGAGCTTTACTGTCATTCTTTCGAAGTATCAGTTTTCAAATTGTAGTGGATCATCAATCATCCTTCATTGATTTATTCTTTTGTTGCTTCAGTTAACTCCTAAGGAAGCCTTTCGAATGATTTCTCATAAGTTCCACGGTAAAGGACCTGGAAAAATGAAGCAAGAGAAGCGTATGAAGCAATATCAAGAAGAATTGAAGATGAAGCAAATGAAGAGTTCCGATACACCATCACTGTCTGTGGAGAGGATGCGGGAAGCTCAAGCTCGTTTGCAGACCCCCTATCTTGTTCTCAGTGGTCATGTTAAACCAGGGTATGTTTTCAATTTTATGCAAACTTATAATTCCTGAAGTTTTAATTTAAAAGTCTGTTTGCATGAAATGAATTGAGAAATTTGGAGCATGTTTGATTTTGTGATTTAGTGTTAAAAGTTATTGTTGCAACAAGGAACATACTTCCGAAACTAAGATTAATTCCTTTCCCTCATCTTAAAGCACCGTACTCGCTTTTCATTCATGTCCACACTTTGGTGTAAAAACTTTGATACTTAACATAAAGGCTTACGAGACCAGTTGGTACAGGTTCATTTAGTGATCCGTATCTTTGATTGTTATCTAGAATAGAGTGCAGGCTTTGTATTGATATATAACTTAGTTCTTTAATCGTTATGATTAATTACTTGTATTTTCCATTTGTTATAATGGGATTGCCAATCCATTTCTTGTGATTTCATTTTTAAGTCATTATTTCTGTCTTCAGCCTTCACTTATTACGCAGTCTTTGGGGTTTGTTTATATAAAGTCCAGTCAGGGGAACACTTTTTATTTGGTTAATCTTCTCAAAGGCTATACAAGTGATATGTTGTGTTTAAATTCCAATATATCCAATATACAGTAAATTTTTCACTTCAGACAATCCCCGTCCCACTTTTTCAAAAAAGGTCCAATTCTTCCTCTTACCAGCTTTCAGAACCCGTTTTAAAATTTATAGAAATTGTTGGTGGCAAAAAGTGATTTTGGTATGCGAAGAAGTAACTAGAGTTAATGTTAGCTGCTTTGGTTTGGACCAATAGGACTGTCACGTGATGCTGATAGTGGCCAAGGGTCACTTTTTGTATTGTATTCACTATCTAGCATATCAGCTGCTTTGTAATCCTTCGTAGCATTCTTGGGGCCATGTTGCAGTGTTATCCAGATTAACTACTCAGGAAGTTGAAACAGTGTATTCATAACGAAACCTACTTTTGTTATTTTCTGTGATATTATGGCAGTAAAATTAAAGTTCTTTTACTGAATTGTGCAAGGCTTTGAAAATATGAAAGGAATTATGTCAATATAGCAAGCATGGTTCTGTGTGGTTTCTTCTATCTTCTCTTATTTTCTTCTTTTGCTTAGTTAATATACCAATGTATGTGACTGTTTGATTTTTTGTTGGCAGACAAACTAGTGACCCAAAAAGTGGTTTTGCAACTGTTGAGAAGGATCTTCCTGGTGGCTTGACACCTATGCTTGGGGATCGTAAGGTAATTCAGGCCGTGTTTAAGCTTTTATGGTATATTTTTCAGACATTTATATATTTTTTTATTTGTTTCAGGTAGAGCATTTTCTGGGAATTAAGAGGAAAGCTGAGACATCAAGCTCCGATAACCCAAAAAAGCCTAAATCATAATTCCTTGGTATACTAATATCCCTGTAAGCTTAGAAGTTGGACCCATAGTGTTCATCTATTCTGTTGCTGACTGCTAAAGATTTGTAGCTGAATTTATAGTGCTAATTTCGTTAGTAAAACTTGATTTTCTTGAAAGATGTATGTTGGTAGAAATTTAAAGAGCTAGCAAGATCAATACCAGTGGTTGAAATTTTCTCCATTCTACGCGGTCCAGAATGTGCGATTCCTTCTGTACAAATAAGAGTTTATTTTCAATGTATTAATTAAAATTTTGGATTGTGGATTTCTCTTTGGATAGTCTAGAACTTTATTAGTATGTTCTTCGCTAAAGAAATTTAGTGCAACTTTTCACTTTTTTTTTTCTTAAAAGTTTGTTCACATCAGCATAACACATAAGACAGAAATTAATCTCCTCTCCATTACCCAACACCCATATAGAATGATCCTTAATAGCTCTAAGCCAAGTTTTGATACCCTGTCACAAAAAAGAAGTATACCTAATAAGAATCTGGTTTTTGGCAATGATGAACATTAACCCATGGTTTCAGCCCACTGAAAGTTTGATAGGACTCCTAATAAGGATTGGCCTGTTAATCAACATGAAACAATTATAGAGGGAGCAAGGCCCAAAATATGGAAGGTTTACGTGAGAAGAAAGAAAATGGGGTTAGGAAAAGAAAGGGAAGTTAATTAGAAAGGGGAATGACGTGTTAGGAATCCAGGGAGGGGGAATTATGTTATAGGAGAGAGAATAGAGAGTGTGAAGGGGATAGGGAGGAGAGGTGGTGAGTTGGTTAGGAGGAGAGTCATCCTCTGGTTAGGAGTGAGAGCACTCTGGGTTTTACTAGTGATTGTAGAGCTTTCAGCTCCATAACTTTTATTCTGCATAATACTTGAATAATATACCTGTGATATTCAGTTTTATTGTTGGGTTTCTATCATTGGTCCGACCTGCCGGATCCCTGAGAAGAACTAGCATTGTTGTCCATGCCACCCCAAAATGTCTGATTGAGTCGACGCATTAGAGGAAAGATTGTTAGCGATGGAAGTGTCTGTACGTGAGACGTTGGGGGAATTTTGCCAACTAATGTTGGAAGAACTGACTAAGCTGCGTAACAAGCAAGCGGGAGAGCGTCGAGAATCTCCGTTTTCAGATATGGATTCAGGGGCAGAGTACAGGATGGCAGCAAAGAAGGTGGAATTGCCATCATTTGATGGTACTTACCCTGTGGGATGGATTACCAGGGCAGAGACATATTTTGAAGTGCACGTCTCTACAGAAGAGGTGAAGGTCCGATTGGCAAAACTAAGCATGGAAGGGGCAACCTTTCATTGGTTTAATCTTCTACAAGAAGCAGAAGTGGGGTTGTCGTGGGCCAAGTTAAAAAGAGAGTTGATCGGTCGTTATGGTGGTCGTACTAGCGGTAATCCTTTCGAAGAGTTGAAAGATTTGTCGCAGACGGGCAGCGTAGATGAGTATCTAGCGGAGTTCGAATATATCTCCTCTCAAGTTTCTCGTTTACCAGAGGAGCAATATCTGGGTTACTTTATTGGAGGGTTGCGACCGGAGATTCGGCGGAGGGTTCGCACCTTCAACCCGATGAATCGTCTCCAAGCCATGCGCCTAGCTCGAGACGTGGAAGCAGAAGTGCAGGGAGAGGGATTTCAGCGTGGAGGAGGATTACGAGGGTGGAAAAGCAATCGTGATTGGGGTACGGGTCAGGGAGAGAAGTCTGGATCCGGGTCGGGTCAAGGCCCACATTTAGGGAAATTAGGCGTTGGGTTAGGCCCAACCCAGAGCATATCAAATAAACCATTATCGGCAGCGGGCTCCAGCCTTCATGAGTCACGCTCGACGACGCAAGGCAGTCGCGTTTCAGGTGATCGTTTTCCGACCGCCGACCGAAATCGCGGTACGAAACATTTGCCGTATGCTGAATTGATGAACAGGAAAGCTCAAGGGCTTTGTTTTCGATGCGGTGAAAAGTATCACCCCTTGCATCGATGCACAGAGTGGCAACTGCAAATGGTGGTGTTAGCGGATGACGAAACAGTAAATGAAGCGGGGGAGGTGATCACGAGTGAGAGCAAGAAGAGGAAGATGACCATAACTTGGAGTGTGGGTCTATGGGGCTGTTCGCAGAAGTTGAAGTACCATGGGGTGGTCGGAATAACCCTACAACTTTGCGCATAGAGGGTCTTCTCAATGTATTAACCTTTGGAGTGCTGATTGATAGTTGGGCTAGTCATAATTTCATTTCTCCCCTTGTAGTGGCTGCTCTGGAGTTGAAAGTGGACAAAAGAAAACATATTGGTGTTCGTTTGGGAGATGGACATAGGGTGTCTACATCGGGGAAATGTGAGAAGTTGGACATCCAATTAGGAGAATTCTCTACTACGGTAGAGCCATATGTGTTGGAATTGGGGGACGTGGACATGATTTTGGGAGTTTCTTGGTTGTGAAGGTTTGGAAAGGTTACTTTTGATTGGGAAGAGATGACTCTAAGTTTTTTTTGGCAGGACAAATATCTGGAGTTACAAGGTCAGAAACTGAGAAAACACGGACAACATATAACGTTGATGACATCTTTCCAGAGTGTGGTGAAGGAGAATAGTTTGGGAGAAAAGTCCATTTCAAAACAAAGCTTATCAAAGACACAAGTTGAAGATATTCAACAGATTTTAGTGGGTTATGCGACTGTATTCCAAGAGCCACAGGGGTTGCCCCCTTATAGAAATGTGGTGCATGTTATTACATTGCAGCCAAAAGCAAAAGCCGTGAGTGTGCGACCATATCGGTATCCACATCACCATAAAGAGGAGATTGAAAAACAGGTTGGAGAGATGTTGACACAAGGAGTTATCAAACCCAGTTCTAGCGCTTTTTCCAGCCCGGTAATTCTTGTTAAGAAGAAAGACGGTTCATGGCTCATGTGCGTGGATTATAGGGAGCTGAATAAAGTCACAATTCCCGACAAATACCCAATTCCAGTGGTAGAGGAGTTATTGGATGAGTTATATGGTGCTACTTATTTTTCTAAACTAGACTTGAAATCTGGGTATCATCAAATACGGATGGTGGAGGAAGATGTTCATAAAACAGCTTTCAGGACACATGAAGGTCATTATGAATTTTTAGTGATGCCCTTTGGTTTGACAAATGCCCCTACGACTTTCCAGTCTACTATGAATCAGATTTTTAAGCCCTATTTGAGGAAATTTGTGCTAGTATTCTTTGACGATATACTAGTTTACAGTAAAGGATGGGATGAACATTTGAAGCACTTAATGAGAGTCTTTGAGCTGCTGTGTGAACAATCTTTCATGGTCAATAGAAAAAAGTGTGTTTTTGGGAGTCGGCAAGTAGAATACTTGGGTCATCTAATTTTTGAGCAAGGAGTTGCAGTAGACCCAGAAAAAATTAAAAGTGTGATAAATTGGCCCATACCTCATAATGTCAAAGGTGTGAGGGGTTTTTTGGGATTAACGGGGTATTATCGAAAATTTATTGCGGGTTATGGTAAGATTGCTCGGCCCCTTACTGAATTGACGAAGAAGGATGGTTTCCATTGGGTCCAAATGCATTATTGGCCTTTGAGGAATTAAAAAAGGTTATGACTCAAGCTCCCCTATTGGCTTTACCTAACTTTTCTAAACCGTTTGAAATTGAGTGTGACGCTTCAGGGGCATGGATAGGAGCAGTATTGATGCAAGACTGACAACCGATAGCTTATTTTAGTAAAGCTTTGGCACCGACTAATGTTAACAAGTCAGCCTATGAGAAAGAATTAACGGCATTAGTGTTGGAATGGTCCAACATTGGAGACCATACTTGATTGGAAAGAGTTTCAAGGTGTATTCAGATCAGAAGAGTTTAAGACACCTCTTACATCAAAAAATCACCACCGAAGCTCAACAAAATTGGCTGGCAAAGTTGTTAGGAGATCAGTTTGAGGTGATTTACAAACCGGGCCCAGAGAATAAAGCTGCTGACTCACTATCAAGAATGTTCGAAGCGGGTGAATTGAGGGAGATTCAGTCTTTTCCATTATGGTTGCAGGAACAACATATCCAAGAGGAAGTGGAAGTAGATCCTTTCTTACAGCAAGTGGTGCAGAAGTTACAACAGGAAGATGCATCTGTTGCAGATTTCAGTTTGCAAAGTGGAGTATTATTTTACAAAGGACGCTTGGTATTGTCAGCTAAGTCAGATTTAATTCCTACTATCTTAAATGAGTTTCATTCTTCACCAGTAGGGGGTCACTCGGGTTTTTTAAGAACCTACAAACGTATCGCAGCAAATCTGTACTGGACGGGAATGAAGAAGATGATTCAAGAGTTTGTTAAAGCATGTGATGTGTGCCAACGACAGAAATATGAAGCAACGTCTCTAGTTGGATTACTACAGCCCCTACCTATTCCAGATAGGATTTGGGAAGATATTTCCATAGACTTCATTACGGGCTTACCAAAATCTAAGATTCAAGCTATATTTGTAGTGGTGGATCGATTGTCTAAATATGGCCACTTTATTTTATTGAAACATCCTTATACTGTCAGGAAGATTGCTGAATTATTTGCTAAGGAGATTGTACGACTTCACAGCCTTCCGCAATCGATTGTTAGTGATCGAGACCCTGTGTTCATGAGTCTTTTTTGGCAGGAATTATTTCGAGGGAATAACTTTAAAAATGAGTTCTTCTTATCATCCTGAGATTGATGGTTAAACGGAAGTGGTAAATCGATGTTTAGAAGCTTATTTACGGTGTTTTGTGTCAGAACAGCCCAAGAACTGGTCATATTGGGTACCTTGGGCAGAATTATGGTATAATACTACTTTTCATGGAGCAACAGGAAAGACTCCTTTTGAAATTGTGTATGGGAAAACACCACCTGCTTTAATGCGTTTTACACAAGGCGAAACACGTGTGGAAGCTGTAGCCACTGACTTGGTTGATAGAGATGAAGCTATTCGACAATTGAAATATCATCTGTTGCGAGTCCAGCAGCAAATGAAGAAATTTGCAGATAAAAAGCGGAGATTCATGCAGTTCGAGGTCGGAGAGTGGGTGTTTATTAAATTGCGTCCCCATAGACAAGTAACCATAGCTCGACGTATTAATCAGAAGCTGGCACCTCGGTATTATGGGCCTTTCTTAGTGGTGGAGAAGAAGGGAGAAGTTCCTTATAAGGTGCAGTTGCCGGAATCAGCAAAAGTACACCCGATTTTTCATGTTTCTCAATTAAAAAAGGCTATTGGTAATCATGCGGTAGAACC